CACGGAGCTCTTGATCTCCCCTGGCAGCCTCTGTGGGACCGAGCCCCGGGTTCCAGCCCCAGCCCCCTGAGGAAGGCTGGGGCTAAGGAGAGTCGGGCGGCTTGGAGAGGGGCATCTACCACACACAGGACCCTGTCAGGGACAGCCCAGCCTTCGTCGGGGGCAGGGAGGCCGCACAGGCCTCTACCTGCTGTTCCGGGGCTGAGCTGAGGCAGGCAATAAGTCACTGTGAAGCTGAGGGGATGCAAAGGGAGAGGAGTGAAGACCCCAGTGGTCCGGGGACAAGTCTGCCAGCAGGATGGGGCAGGAGGTGCCTGTCACATGTGTTCGGGTGCTGGCCTCGGCCACACCAGGTTAATCCTCAGGGTGCCTCGCTGAGGTGTCATCCCATGGTCTTGAGGGGAAACTGAGGCATAGAGAGGTCAACTGGCAGGTGGCAGAGCTTCCAGCCACTGGCCGGGCCTGCCCTGCGGGGAAGCTTGGAGGACATCTCGGTGCAGCAGGAGGGACCCCAGAGGCGGAGGCCGGGAGGGGCGACACCCAGCCCCAGCCTTGGAAGGCGCACTCTGTTCCCAATTCACTCTCACTTCATTTTCTCACCAGCAAACTCACCTTATGTTGCAGACGAGCACAAAGAAGCGACACGTGATTGGAGGCAGGAACAGAACTGCCAATTGCTGCTCTTAGGCATCTGCGCAAAACACTCATCACAGGCAGGTCCTAATGTCCCTGAGTCTCCCCAGCACCCCTGGGGGGTCGTTCCCATCTCACAGATAGAGAAACCGAGGCCCCCAGGGGGAAGCCAGGTGCCCCAAAGGCAGCCAGAAGCAGCAGAAAACAGGATGCTCCGCAGAGCCTGGATGCCGGGGACAGGCAGTGCAGGGGTGGGCAGTGCTGGGGCAGGGTGGGCAGTGCCCGGCCTCAGCCCCGCTCTCTGCTCCAGGACGGTCCTCACGTGGAGGCAGGGCCCACTTTGCTCCTTGCCTCCCCAGCTTGTCTCCTCTGAAGGCTCCTGCAGCCCTCGGGGAGCCCCAGGGTCCCCACAGCCCCATCCTGGGAAGACGTCGTCTGCAGATCTGCTCCCTCTTGGGCACGGGGACCCCAGAATCAGGCAGGCCTCGGCCTGAGTGAGACTCAGCAGCAGTAGGCACTGGGAGATGAAGGCTCTGAAATGCAGGATGCAGATCACGCTCCTCCCCTCCCCCAGCAACTCTTGGGAATGTCGGGGCTCCCAGGGGGAGGGGACCCGAATGGGTCCCTGTGCTCCTGGGCACGCCCTGGTGGGGGGCAGCAGGTGGTCAGGAGGCCACAGCACCCCCATCTGCAGTGGCTAGCTTGGCTACCACCGTGTCCTTGGGACAGAGCCAGGTCCACAGTGCAGGCTTTGGGGAGCAGGGGCAGAGGGCTAACCCAACAGGGAGAAGCAGGCGCCCGGCCTGGGGAGCCCCCTGTGGGGGCAGCGTGTGGCTGGTCTCCTGCCCTCAGGAGTGATTCCTGGCCTTGAGGGCATGGTGGGGGCCCCGTTTCCCTTGCCTTGGGGTCCACACTGGCCCCGGGTGGGAGACTTGGCACCGCTGGCTCCACGGCGCTGAGACTGGGTCCTTGTTGGCACAGGTTTTTCATGAAGCCTGGTGGATGGTGTCCGAGGAGGCCGTCCACACAGGGTGGTGAGGGCTTGTCTAGTGTCCGGCGGACGTGTTCACCCAGAAACATGTCCCCCTAGCCCCGATGTGGTGGCCTGCAGCCCCTACTTGCCTGGTCGGCCAGAGACGGGGTCCACAAAGACCCTCTGTCCTGGGCTGGCCGGAGGCTCTGCACTGGTCACTGAGGGGAAAAGATTGGGGTCCACACACTGGGCTGGGCCCCCGAGTCAATGACGCCCGCCCTGGATGCTGTCACCCTAAATGTGGCCTAAAGCAGCAGCAGGCTGATTGGGTCTCAAGTCTGACCACTAGGACAGGCCTGGAGAGCAGGGGGCAGCCTCTCCCAGCAGCTGCTCCAAGGACACAGGCCCTCCTGGGGTGGAGAGCCACGCTGGCTGTGAACTCACACCAAACAGAAAATCCACTGCTGAGAGCCGATCTTGTCACAGGAAGATCGATTGTGCACAGGACCAGAAGGGGCTTTTCCAATCCATCGGAGGAGGGGCTGGATCATAAACACCATTTCCCCTTTCTCTGACCAGGGCTTTCTGTGCAGCTGAGATCAGAGGCAACGCTCTCTGTTCTGGGTGAGGAAATGAAAAATGAGGAACTTTTCCCACCAGCCCATCCCTGGGGATGGGCCGATGCAATGCTCTCAGTGGGAATGGGGCTCCCTACAAGCTGGGCAAACACCCCTTGGACTTGGGGTGGGGCTGAGGCCAGCCTTGTGAATAATGTTAGCCGGGAGCTTGCCAAAAAACCCTTACCAGCTGGAGGACCAAGGCAGCCCCAGGGACCCCTCCCAGCAGCCCTAACCCCTGGGCATCCACCCCTGGCCCCCTCCTCAGAGTGTCACTGGGGGCCTCACATTCCCAGAGACACCCTTGGCCATGGGCTCAGCCTCTGATGCCTGAGAATGCTCTGAGGGGGAAGCCACCAGCCAGGCCCCCGGAGAGGAGAGGGGAGGGGACTCCAGGAGGGGCAGGGACAAAGTGCAGGACAGCAGTGCCCGTCCTTCCTCTTCTCGAAGCTTCATGAGCTCAGATGTAGGAAGCCCATGGGAGGCTCGCCAGGACCCACGGGGGCTTTCACGGCAGGGCAGGCCACCAGGATAAGGGCTGGGCCCCTGGGAGTTAATACGCAAGAGCCCCGCCAAGTCCAAACAAAACTGGCAGGGCTTCTGGCCTCAGGAACCTGGCAGGGCCAGAGTGAATCCTGGAGCAATGCAGGGGCAGCCATGCCCACTCTGTCAGCAGGCTGGACGCCGGGGGTTTTCCTTGGTTTGGGGTGTCAATGCGCGAGCTCGTTGGGCCATATGGACCTGGACAGCCCTTGGCTGGATGCAGGACGGGCTGGGCCGGTTCCACGCAGGCGTCGGGCTGTGAAGGCCCCCGGCGTCTGTGAGCCTGGCTTTCAGCAGCCGCTCCGAGACCCCGCCTCGCCTGAGTGGCTTGGCACGCCCCGGACCTCATAAACCCAGCAGCTCTCCCCAAACGCTATTCTTGGCAGGCCCTGGACGCAGCTCCCAGGGCGGGCAAGGGACGAAGCTTGAATTGCAGCCACGCGGGCGGCTGGGCGGGCGAGGGGACAGGGTGGGTTCCCCCGCTACCCGGGCCACCCCATTAAAATTGCAGAGGCAGCTGCGTTTTGTATCTGCGTTCTCACGAGCAGCACTATCCTCCTCTCCCCACAAGAGGCATCTCGAGTCTGCATAGCCTGGAGGCGGGTGCCCAGGCCCCGTGACACCCTGCACAGCCACGGGTGCGTGTGCCGGGGAGACCCAGCCCAGGGGTGAGGCTGCCCCTCGCTTGCTGTTGCTCCCCACAACCGTTTCTCCCTAGAAATGCTTTCCGCCAACCAGACAACCCTGTCCGGTTCCCACAGGGCGGCTTTCTTCCAGCTCCCAGCCTGGCTCTGTGCCAGCGCCCAAAAAATGCCGCCAGCCACCCAGAAACCAACCCTGGGATTCGCCTAGAGGAAACCACAGCCCAGAATCTGGCCCATCTGGACCCATTTTGCCTACTGAGGAGGCCCCCTGGGAAGGAAGACGCATTGCCAGCTTCCCAGAGGCTTCTGAGATCTGTCATGTTCAAATTCAGACGCAGCGCCCGAGGCGAGGGTGGTCTGTCTGCCCCCTAGGATGGGGAGCCGTCTCCACCCTCGGTGGGGTTTTGGGTGGGCCGGGGGTTGACGGCCCGCTTCTTCTGAGGGGGCTCGGAGTCGAGCCCTCACACAGCCCCACTCCCGCCTTGGCCGAGCCCTCAAAGTGAGACCCCATGGCACCGGAGCCCCACAGCCCCCCTTACAGAAAGCAACACACAAATTGCAGCCAACGTAGATAAAAAGTGTTTTTTTTTAATTTTATCAAATCGATCTGTACAAAAGTTAGCATTGCTTGGTCAGAAAGTAGCGAAACACAGCAGGTAAGTGACAGCGAAAGTCCAAACTCGACACCAAAAAACAGATGGCATAGAAATGGGTTTGCTGTAAGTTCCCTGCCCCCACCCCCAGAAAGAGATAGGCCAAAAAAACAAAATTTTTTTTCTAGAAAAAGGTAGGAAAAAGTAGAAAAAGTAAAAAGAAGCAACTTCTCAGATGTCTTTAAATTGACAAAGTCTTAAAGGCACAAGTTTCCATGAAGTAGGCGGTTATCTTTGCTCAGCACACAGCGGAAGCAGTGCAGGTAAGTCAGGAGTTACTCATCTAAAGCTAAGAATCTACAATCGTTTAGTGGAGAAGGTTTCAGTTTCACAGCTTGGAGGTGGCGCCCGGTTCCTAAAGCCGAGATTAACGTGTGGTGCAGCCACCACATCCCAGGAAGTTCCCATCTCTACCACTTGGCACAGCCGTGGGTAGGGGGGAAACTCAGCGATGCCCCTGCCCGCTACACCTCGACTTCATCCCTGGTGCCGGGGCGCCCAACCTGATCAGAGACTACAGGCAGATGCCTTCTCCTCCCTCAGGGGCCCAGCACCTCTCAGGGCCCTCTGCGGCACTCCCAAAACGCCCATAGCAAAGGCCCCAACCCATCTGCTGTCCTCACCCTGCCTCGGTTCCCCGGCTTCCGTTCTGTCTTAAATTCTACTCTCTGCACAAATTACTTCACTAATTAAAGATAAAATAATACACAACATAAATACATTTTAACAGCTTCCGAAACCAATCAAACACATGTAAGCTTCAAAAATTAAAATTAAAAAAATAAAATAAAAGGAGAGAAGTATTAATCACAGCCAAACCTTGCTTGGGAGAACCCTAGCTACAAGGAGCCCCTCGGGTCTGACGGGCTGGCCCCAAGAGGTGCTCCTGTAGACACGTCCCCACCAGGCTGCAGGGGCTGTCCCACCACAAGGACGTCATCGGTGATCCTGGGTGTTCTCAGTGCCAGGGCCGGCGGGGACCTCGGAATGCAGGCGGCCGGAGACCCCATGCCCCTTCCCTCCTTTAGTCCTTTGGGCTGTGGCTGCCGCTTTGCATCCACCGAGACACAGAACAAGGTGCGTGTCTGCGCGGAAGAGGGACCCAATGGCCGTCCTTCGTGTCGGAGTCACTAGTCCCCGAAAAGAGAGAGAAGGAAAGGAGGGCTGTGTCCTTTGACGGGAGTCTGGAATCTGGAGCAAAGTGGCACCGGCTACAGAGCCGGCTCCCCGCAGACCCCAGCAGGCACTGATGCAGCCGCACACGCAGAGCGCGCCTCCCCTCCCCTCCCCTCGCTCCTTCCTCAAGGCCTCGGAGGCCCTGCCCGTCTTTGCCAAGATAAAGGCTCTCCTCCACGGACACGGGCCCCTCCACACAGCCAGGGCGCCCTCAGGGTCTGGTCAGGGTGGTGTACACGGGCTGGTCCCAGTTACTGGGGGGGCTGTGGGCGGGTGGCACGGAGAGGCCGCTGAGCAGGGATGAGGCATAGGGCCGGCGGGACGAGTGGAAGTAGGGGTGTTGGTAGAGGCTGGCTGGGTAGCCAGGGTACGGGCTGTAGTAGCTGGGGGCCTGCAGGTCGGTGTAGTCGCACTGTGAGCTGGTGAAGGAGCTGGCGGCTGCGGCAGGGGCGGCCGTGCTGACGCTGGCCTGGGCGCTGTAGGAGCCGTAGTCAGCGCGGCCCGGAGAGCCGTGCGACTGGTCACTGTAGTGGCTGGGGCTCAGCTGCTCCGTCTTGATGTGTGGCCGCGGGGGGCCTGCCTCGGTGGGTGATGACGAGGCCGATGGGGCTCCCTTATGGGCCCACACGGGGGACGCCCCAATGCTGGAGTGCGAGTAGGAGGCACCCCCATAGGAGCCAGCGGTGGTGGGCTGGTCTGTGGGCAGGGCTGAGTGGCCATTGAGAGGCAGGTACTGGTCAAACTCGTGGACGTCGAAGGTGTCCATGTTGCTGATGACCTCACTGCTCAGCTCCGAGATGTCCACGTTGCTGAAGTCGATGTTCTGGCGCCCGCTGTCCACCAGGCGGCGGCCTTCCAGCTTCAGCTCCTGCTTGCCCCCGTGGTGCAGGTCTGTCTTGGGAGTGGTGGGCGGGGTGGGCGGCCCATGGGTCTGCCCTGGGGACAGAGCACATTTCAGGGATGAATGCCCCTTCTGTGGGGGGCGGGGTGGGGCTGCCAGAGCTGGCCAGGCTGGTGAGGCACGCATGGGAGGAAAACCAGCCCGCTAACCGCCACAGGTAGGAATCAACGGCTTTTTGTTCCTGTACGTTTCCCAGAAATTCCAGCAAAGCCAGAGCCAGACCTCACGCCTCAGCAGAAGAAATTCCTTGAAGTACTGTTCTGGGGGAAGACCTGGGGCCACGAAGTCCCCACGGTGAAGACCACGGTGGGGGAAGGAGACCCCAGCCCTGTGTACACAACAACAGCGCAACCCACACAAAACCTGTTGTCCCCGAGGCTCACAGCTTTAGCCAACTTCACCGAGACTGCTCGGGTGACCAGGACTCCACCCAGGTCAGCCTGATTCTGAGCTGGGCACTGAGCACCATGCGGGCAGCACGAGTGAGTCCTGGATCAGAACCAGCAAAAAGGCAGAGCAGGCAGAAAGGCCTCGGGTGGGACCCGAAAGCATCTGGGTCACAGGGCTCCTGGAGGCAAACCAAGACCCTCGGTGCTCAGAGGGCGCTACACAGGCCCCCCACCTGCATCAGAAATGGCTGCCACCGGGGGCTCTGGGGGCTTTTTGGGTACCCGAGGAAGGCTTGGTTCTCTCGGGGGTGTCTGCCCCTAGCCCCCTCGCTCATCTCAGCCACGGCCAGAACCCCCACTTCTCACGCTAGGGACTTCCCGAAGCTGGGGGCCCCGGGAGCCCACCTGTGTGGTCGCCGTGGTGGTGTGCGTCGCCGAGGCCCGTGTCGGTCTTGTACACGGCACCCCCAGGGTGGTGGCCCAGCTCGGCACCCGAGTCCGAGTCGCTCTGGCCTGTCTTCACGCTCTTCCTCCGGCGCGGCTGGTACTTGTAATCTGGGTGGTCCTTCTTGTGCTGGACCCGCAGCCGCTCGGCCTCCTCCACAAAGGGGCGCTTCTCGCTCTCACTCAGCAAGCTGCAGGGCAGGGGCAGAAGCCGGACGGCGGGGGTGCCAGGTGAGGCGCGAGGACAGGACCAGGACGACCCCCACCAGGGAGGTCTGCATGCATCTTTATGCCGTGGTGGCCGCCAGGCAGACACTCTCCCTCGCTGAGGACAGGCAAGCTCAAGCCGGCCGGCTGTTTGGTGAGGTCTGTGCTCACTGGGGTCAAAGGAACGAACTAGAACAAGACCCAGACCTTTCCGTCTCCATCTTCCCCCTCTTAGCTCCCCCATCGCTGAGCTGTCTGTCCCCCAACTTCCGGGCTTTCTAAGGCAGGCGGGGGAGGAGGGCAGGACCCAGCTGAGAACACACTGTGGACAAAGTGAGGCTCCCCAGACCCCTGGAAACACTGGCGAAACCCAGTGGTCCTCACTGAGGCTCAGAACACACGCCGGCCCCTCAGACCCTTCCGGAAGCTCACCTCTAACTGCCTGGGGGACGGGGTATGGGGGCACAGACCCACAGGCGCCAGGGTCCACAATGCCCAAACCGGACAGAGGCAGGAGCACAGAGAACATTCATGCAGACTCTGAGCACCCACTCACGAGGCAAGGAACAAGACATGGGGAACCAGCGCCCCGAACCCAAAGCCATCCATTTTACACCCAAGTAGGGAGCACTTGGTGGAGGTGCGCTGTCCTTAGCAACAGCTCTGCCACTGCTGCTGTCCTACTTTCTGCAAAACCAAGCAGTTTCACCATGCCCAAGTGGGCACAATGCAGGTCGCTGCTGGACACCCCTTCACCCCCACTCCTTCCTTGCTGAGGGGTACAGAGGCAGCAGGGGACAGGGAGAAGCAGTGGGGTAGGTGCCAGCCGGGCGGACATGCACACCCTCCATCTGCCTTCTGGACTCCCTCTGCACAGTGGTTGGGGAGAGGAAGGGGAGCCCTTTCCCAAGAGGGGGCACCTCCAGAGATCAGCACAGTGCCTGACGCTGTGTCCTGCTTCCAGATAGAAGCCACATTTCCTACAGCGGGAGAGACAGGCCACCAGGAGCTGGGGCCACTCACAGGTGGGGTCCCCAACTAGACATGCCAGCCACTGCCTTCAGCAGGCTGTTCCCGGACTCTGTGAATGTGCTAGACAGCTGCACACTCGTCCCGCTGCCCTCTACCGGCCCGGACCGCTTGAGTACCCCGTGCCTGGTCCCGGCTGGCCAGAGGGAGTTTTTCCACGAGGACTTACCCTGGGAACAGCCACTGGGAGCAGGGCCGAGACCGGGCGCGGTGCCAGCTCCCCGAGCCCCCGCGCACCCCAGGACCCGCTCACAGCCCGAGGGGCCGGGGCCACCGTCCCCGCGCCCGGCCTGGGGACGAGCACTCACCGCCACAGCTTGCCCAGCGTCTTGCTGAGCTCGGCGTTGTGCAGGTGCGGGTACTGGTCGGCCAGCTTGCGGCGCGCCGCCTGCGCCCACACCATGAAGGCGTTCATGGGCCGCTTCACGTGCGGCTTCGCCTTGAGCGCGCCGCCGCCGCCGCCGCGCACTGGCATGGGCACCAGGCTCCAGTCGTAGCCCTTGAGCACCTGCGACACGGCGTCGCGGATGCAGGCTGGGAAGCGCTCGTCCGCCGCCTCGGCCGCCTCGCCCCGGCCGCCGCCCCCCGCGCCCGCCGCGCGGCCCAGGCCCTCGGAGCCGGCGGGCGACGGCGGCGCGTCCGAGTCCGAGTCCTCCACGTGCGACATGGAGCTGGCGGTGCCAGACGGGCTGCAGGGCGGCTGGGCGCGGGCCTCGCTCATGTCCAGCATCGGGCCCGCGCTCGGAGGGGCGCGCACCGGGGACGCGCACCGGGTCCGAGGCCCGGCTGCGCTGCGGCCGCTCTGGGACCCGAGGTCGCCGCGCAGTGGCCCGACCTACGTCCCCACCACCGCCGCCCGACCCCTCACTCCTGGGGCTGCCGCTGCCGCCGCCGCCGCCGAGACCCAGTCCCCGCGGAGGGACCCGCAACAAGTTTCTTTAAGCGGAGGCCGCGAGACTCCGCCCCCCGCCCGGCTCCCCATTGGCCGACGTGTGCCCCGCTGCCCCGGGGGCGGAGCTTGGCGCCCCCCGCCCCTCCCCCCACCTTAAAGAAAGCTCCGCGATTCCCGCGGCGCCCCCGCCCGCCCCGCCCAGCGCCGCACCACGTGGGGCCTCGCCCGCCCGGCAGCCGAGGACTGGAGCCCGGGCTGTGCGCCTGACCGCTCGCCACCCCACGCCGCGGGCCCCCCTTCCAGGAGGAGCGGGAAGAAAAAAGGGTCAGAGACGGGAGCAGTGGGGCGCTCTGGTGTGCCCTGCTCCCTCTGCGGGCACGTCTCGGCTCCCGTGCGTCCCGCCTCCGGTCCTGTCGCCCAGCCTCGGGCAGCCCGTTCTGCAAGGAGGCGGGTCCTCAAGGGCCTGCCCCCACCAGCCCGCCTTGAGCCTCGGCGTCTCGCCCGCAGCCCAGAGGCGCCGGGGTCAACTGCTGCCAGCCTGCGGCCCAGGGGAGGGTCGGCTGGGCCGCGTAGCCTCAATGCCCGGGCTTCCCGCCCGCAGGGCCGGCGCGACGTGCAGGAGCCTCCAGCGCGCCCCAAGTGTGCGCGCCGCGCACGTCCAGGTAACGCGCCCAGGGGCCACTGCTCGGAGCTGGGTGATCCCAGGTTCCCCGCCCCGACCGGGTACGAGCGTGGAAAGCGCTGGCGGGGGTGCGGTCTCAGGAGCCGCGGCAGCCGCAGGGGGCAGGAGCGCTGGGCGGGGCCGGAGCTGACCCTAGTTGTTGAGTCCCTGGGGCCGCCCGGCGGATGGCGTGGCCGGACGCGGGGGCCCAGAGCCTTCCGGGCCTGACCCGGGGGGTGGGGGCGCGGAGGCTGTCGGGCGGGGCGGTCCTGGGTGGTCCGGCGGGGGCGGAGGCCACTCGAGGCGCCTGGAGTGGAGGAGGTGGGCGCGCCCGCCGAGGAGGGAAGGGGGTAGGGTGTGCCGCCCTGGGGGGGCGGCGGGGTCGGAGAGGGGACATTTCCCCTGAGGCAAGCGCCGGGTCACGGCTCGGTGTCCCCGCCCGAGGCCGCCCCCGCGAGTTGGCCTTGGGCCCGGCGGTCCCCGAGGGTGGCTCGGATTCTTTGGCCAAACCCGCTGGGAGGCCACGGACCGGCAGCCCAGAGCTTCGCTATCCCCGTCTCGAGCGGCCGACTATGAACACGCGAGTCTCCGAGTTTGTGACCCGCGCGACCCCGGTGACCCTGGGCAAGGGCACCAGGCTCCCCAACCGCACACTTCCGAGTCCTGGACGGCTGGGCGAGTGGCCGCCGCAGCCGAAGGAGTGATGCCGTCTTTCTGGCAGCAGAAGGGGCTGGTCTGTTACCAGAAGACTCCCAATCGAAAGTCGGCGGGTGGTACTGAAGCGTCTCCCACGCACCTTTATCGATCCAGGGGCCTCCACCGCGCATCTGACCTCGCAGGACGCACGTCCTGCCCCCATCCTGGCGACAGCCTGCCCCTGCGCCCGGGGCTGCGAATTCCGTAGAGACGAAGACGCTGCGCACTTTGACGGTGGAGCCAGGTCCTGTCCGGACCACCCGTCTGGGGACGAGGCCTTCGCCTCGCTGGCTCCGGGGCTGCGCAACCTTGCATCTGGAGCGCCAGCGCCGCTGCCTCTGTGGGACGCTGGAGGCCTAAGAGAGAGGGGCCCGGCGCCTGGGCTGCCCAGGTCTCCTGCCACCTGCAGGGTGACCCGAAGGCCTGTGTCTTTGTGCGTTGGGTTAACCCCCTTGCCCCAGGCGGTGAACGGGACCTTCCACCTTCCAGGAAGGAGCGCTCCTCAAGGTGAACAGCACGCTGGGAGGCCTTTCCTGAAGGCCAGGGGCTGGCTGCCCCGGTGGCTTGTTCTCCTCCTCCCTCTGCTGGGTCGCCTAACATGGACCACTTTTCACTTTGGAGGTCTTGCTTTCCACTTGGGGTCCTCACTCTGCAGTTGGAGGACACTGAGGGAGGGCTTAAGTGGGGGCACCCACTGAGTTTACTGGCCCAGGTACCCCTATAAGTGAACCAGGGGGTTTAAGTAAAGGAGCAAAAATGACGGACTTGGCCCAAATGGCCCTGCCCCCAAACCTCCCCTCCCCAGCAGATCCCACCCCTCCCTACGCCCCGTGTGCCATTGGGTACCAGGTCTGGGTTTTTAAGAAGAGTTCTGCTTTGCAGAGGAAAACGAAGCACAGGTTGCATTGGGTACACCAGGCAAGGCAGTCTCTCCCTGCTCCCCCCGACCTACAGAGGCACACTGCACAGCCATGTCCCTAGGACACAGGTGACCGCTGGGACCCTTGGAGGGAAAGAGGCCAAGCTGGGGGAGTCCGGAGCTGGACCCTGGTGGCACAGTAGTGTGGCATGTGCAGTCCTAGGCCCCACCGTCAGTTCTACCGGGCTGCAGTGACCACTCTGGGGACTGGTGGAGGTGCTGGCGGGCAGCCCCTGTGGAATTTGTGCAGGTCACAACTCCCACGGAATGGTGCGGGGGCAGAGCCCTGCCAGAGCATGTGTGCACCCTTCCCGGGAGGTGCATTCAGGGTGCAGGCCCGACAGCCCTGGGCAGCTGTTGACAAGTGGGGTGGTGCCCAGAAGTGCCCCAAAGCCCCTTTGCTGTCTTGAAGGCCTCCAGAATTTGCCAGTGAACTATCCAGCCTCATTCTCCATTAGCTGACCTTGGTTCATGTTCTTAGCTGCTGGGCCAGCCCTAAGTGGACACTAGGACATGGCCTGCAGAGGAGGAGGTGGCCACAGTTGCTTCGTGTGTTCATCAGTGTTGATGAAGCACCTGCTTTGTGCCAGGGCATTTTCTGGACAACACAGTACAGAAACACACTGCACGGTCCCTGCCTGGAAGATGTTGGAGTTGAAGGGGGCCGACAGTACACACACCACGGGCCACTCACCACTGGGGGCAGGAGGGGTCCAGGAAGGCGGCTTTGAGGAGGCAAGGATTATGCAGAGACATGAAGCTTCCAACCTCTCAGAGAGGAGAGAACATTCCCTTTGAGGGGTGGGCAGCATGTGCAAAGGCCCTGAGGCAGCAAAGAGCACAGGGTATTTGAGAACAGAGTGAGGCCACAGTGACTTGAAACTTGAGTGGCAGCTCTTTCAATCATCTCTCAGTCCACCTCCTGGCTCCCCCCTCTTCTCTTAGCTCCTCCTTCCTGCCCCTACTCTCCCCTATCCACATGACCTCACCTTCGTCTAGTGGGCTTTGTGGGTTCAGGGAGATGAACCGATGGGCCAAATTTAGGCCAGGTGCCTGGCCCTGGACCATAGGGCATAGGGAAGCTGATGTAAACAAGGTTTCTAGACCCACACCCTGGCAGAGGCTCCAAGGGCACCTGCAAGGAAGGAGCTGTGGGCTGGCAGGCACCCCTTTTGCCTATGAGACCTGAGACCTGGCTGTCTAGGCCTGGAGGGCTCCTGGGAAACCTCTTCCAGGCACAAAGACCCCGACCCACCCTTGGCTTCTAGGGACGGCAGTTCGGGAAGCCCCCGTGTGTGTGTCAGGCACTGCAGATGCTGAGCGGGAAGGAAAGGGCTGCTGAGGGCTGAACACCACGGAGGAGGGCATCCAGCTGTCACTCCTTGCCTCACCCTGCCCAGCCTTTGCCCAGCCTCTGCCTGGCCCTCATCTTCCACAGTTAGGGAGGCTGAGTCCGTGGTTTGTAGTCTTGAAGAGAAGGGCGTTGGGGGCAGGCCACATGGGCCCACGAGCCCCAGGGCCGGCATGTCCCCTGTGTGTCCGCAGCCCTTGCCTGGGCCTCCAGGAGCCTGCCTGAGGTGGTTGGCATCACATCCTGGGAACCCTGGCTCGGCCTCAGAGATGGATTGGTGCTTTTAATTACTGGCCAGTCTGCAGAAACCAGACAACCAGCACAAAGATGAGCCAGTGGCTCTGTAAAGGCGGCCTCGTCCTGTCCTGTTGGGTCTCCACAGAGAGAGGAGGGGGCTCACGTCCCCTGGTAACAGACTCTCAGGGCTCTGGGCCAGCTGGCACGGAAGTTCTGGTTTGGGTGGAACTCGGCCCGTTGGTTGGGCTCCTGTCCACTCGGGAGCCCGCCGTGTCCGTTCCTCACCCTTCAGTGCATGCAGAGGACACCCAGATTCCTCCCCTCTGCCCACAGGACCAGGATGTTCTGGGCCAGCCTCTGCTGGGCGCTGGTCCCGTGCAGCCTGCTCCAGAGCTGTGTCACAGCTTCAAGCTGGTGCGTCCTCAGGATCCTCCCAGCCTCAGGTCAGGGCGGACATGCTCCAGGCTCGCCCTCTGCACCTTCTCACCCGCTCTGAAGCTTCGTGATAAATGAACCCACACTGCATGGGAGTGACCACTGACAGCCTGGGGGACACCCTGCTGTGGCCGTTCTCCTTTGAAAGGATTTGGTGAGAGGGTAGTGCTCAACCTAGGGAGTCTCTGCTGTGCTGTCTGCCGGGGATGCGTGCTGCGCAGATGTGTCAGGAGCAACTGTGGCCTCTGCTCTGGCCTCCACTCACCCCCTGCTGGTCGCTGTCCCCGAGACCCCGCCTGTGCCCGTCCATCTCTCTCTAGTCCGTGGGCTTGGCAGAGCCGACCACCGGCAGCTGTCAGGTCTCGGCGCATCTCTGAAGGCGGGCAGGGCTGCTTCTGCAGCCAAACAGTGTGCTCAGGCAGGGTCCTGGGCATCTCAACATGCAGCCCCCCTGGGGTGCAGGCAGCACCAGGGGGTCCAGGCCAGGCGCCAGCAGTGTCTTCTACGGGAGGAAACTGGGTCTGCTGAGGCAGTAGAGACTTGGGATCAGGCTGGGCCTCTGGACGTTTCCATCTCTAAGCTGATAAATTCCATTGTTCATGCAGAAGTGCTCTGCGTGATGCCAGACTCCTGGACCCCAGACCCCAGCCCCATTCTGG